TTTTAAGGTCTTCCGTTCCAGACGGAAGACCTTATAGTGATTGTACTGTTTATTAAGGTCTTCCGTTCCAGACGGAAGACCTTATAGTGATTGTACTGTTTATTATTATTATTAAGGTCTTCCGTTTTAGACGGAAGACCTTATAGTGATTCTACTGTTTCTTTTTATTATTATTTTTTTTTTCCCCTTTTCTTTTCTGGGCGATTTCTCAGAGATGTCTGGACGGATTTTCTTGAAATTTTCAGGGATGATAGAGAATGAAAATACCCCCAGGCGTTTTTTTCATTTTGTCAAAATTCACTTCCGCTCGTCAGATATGTCCGATTTCCGTTTTTTTCAAAAATATTTTGTCCCAGTCATATCTCAGAAACGGTAAGAGATTAAGACACCAAACTTATATGATTAATAGATCTTGAGGAGTAGGCAAAACCATTTGGGTTAAGAGCGTCAGCCGTCACTTCCGCTCGTCACAGGAAGTGATCAAAGAAGTCGAAATTTTCAACTTTTCTTTTTTGATTTTTTTCTTTCATCACATTGTTGCATCTTATTTGTAGATTCGAAATATGTTGGTCCCACCGGAAACAAAAACGTCAACTTCCGGCTATAAGCGAAAAACTGCATAATTTGAGTATTTTACTTTCCCATAAATATTTTTTATAGATAACGTAAATGAACTGATTTTTGAATATGTTATCAAGACTGCCAATATTTAGAGTAACGTCAAATATCTTTGTAAAATTCACTTCCGGTCGCGCGTTTAAATGTCTGCAAAATGAGAACTTGTCCGAGTGAGATCTCAGAAACTGTAAGAGATTTAGACACCAAACTTATAGGAGTATTAGACCTTGAGAAGTAGACAAAACCATTTGGGAAAAGAGCGTCAGTCGTCACTTCCGGTCGTCACAGGAAGTGATCAAAGAAATCAAAAATTTCAACTTTTCTCTTTTGGAATAAGACTTGCATCACATAATTGTATCTTTTTCACAGTTACGATATGTGTTGGTCGCATCGGAAACAAAAAGTGAAAACTTCCGGTTATAAGAGAAAAACTACATAATAGGGGTTTTGAATTTTCCCCAACATATCGCTTATAGATAGAGTTCTTCAAATGTGTTTTAAATATGTTATTAAGACTGCAGATGTCTAGAGTGACATGAAATATCTTATTAAAATTCACTTTCGGTCGCGTGTTTTCTTGTTCTCAAAATGGAAAGTTATTTCAGCGAGATCTCGGAACCGGCATGAAAGGAAGACACCAAACTTATAGGAGTAATAAAACTTCGTGAGAAGGCAAAACACATAGGGTTAAAAGCGTCAGCCGTCACTTCCGGTCGTCACAGGAAGTGATCGAAGAAATCGAAAATTTCAACTTTTCTTTTTAAAATTAAAACTTTCATCACTTTATTGCTTCCCTTTCGCTATTTTGAAATATGTTAGATTCCACCGGAAAAAAAAACTTTAAACTTCCGGTTTTAAGAGATAAACTACGTTATTTCGTGGTTTAACTTTCTCATAAATATCACTTATAGATAAGTATTTGAAATGTTTTTTACATATGCTGTAGATACTGCAAAAGTCAAGAGAAAATTCAGAGATTTTTATTCAGTTCACTTCCGGTCGTGTGTTTTCCTGTCCTCAGAATTTGAATTTGTTCTCACAATTGTTCGGCAACAGTAAAAGACTGAAGTCTAAAGCTTTCAGGACTTATAGTCAGTCATCAGTTCATTTGCTTCGTGTAAAAATCGTGTGTCGTCATTACTTTCGGTCGTGACAGGAAACGAAGCAAAAAAGTATTTTTTTAAGTTATTTTGTTTCTACATAAGTTTTAGGCTAATACCGACGTTGGAAAAGACATGTTGATGCAAACAGGAAGTAGTATAACGGAAGACCTTCTCATTACTAGTAATGAGTTTCTAGTATTCTTAATATTATTGTATAGACGAAATTTGGTAAAGGACTATGTCCGCTCCATTTCTCCAGAACAGCTTAAGATATGAAAGTTAACTTTGTCAGATATCATAGATAATGACTTGTAGATGTCACCATGAATATTCTTTCCGTCGTCATTACTTCCGGTCGTCACAGAAATTGGATTAAAAAGTCGATTTTTTCTATTTCTTCGTCTTTCTAACTTCTTTTTTCTGTAATATTCATAGGGTATGTAAAGGCCCCTCTTTGAAGATTTTACGTATTACCAGTTTCCTGATAGGATTAAGAAGGAATTAAATATCTTTAAATATCTTAGAATTTCCGAAAACGTAGGACCAACGTTTCTTAAACACTACAGAATATTGATTTTTCCCCCGTATATATAGTTTGCGAGGACTGCTCAGTGCTCATTTACGTAGGAACTGGTGTAGAGTTAAAACCTACTGGGTGATTGGGATAGGCCAGAAAAACCTTGCCGTTGCCATGGAAACGAGTTTATATTAAATAAAAACGGTTGTATATGATATGTGTGTGCATTTTATTCGCCCCTATTTTTGTCAACTGTAGAAGACATTGCCATCTTTACACCCCCCCTTTTTCTCTTTTTCGCTTTTATGTTTTGCATTCTTTATAAAATGACCTTGACTTTCATATCACAAGCAACTCTTCTTGACGTTTTTAAAATTATAAGCCTTAATTCTTTCTACAAAGTAATGCTAATTTACATGTTTATGTTCAAGATCCCCCCCCCCCCTTTCCTCGAAGCAACCAGGTAGAATACACAGATATAAAATTTACAACTTATAAGGAACTTCTTAAGAGTTTCATTAATAAAGTTCGGTTCCCCTGATGTGATTTGATATTTTACTACCATTCATTCTTCTTCTGTTTTGTCTTTAGAATTTATAATTATTTTATTTAGAATTAATTTATCTTTAGAAAGTAGTGATTGTCAGCTGCATTCATTAGCATTTCGCGTTTTCTTCTATATCTATTACTTGCATATTAATAATTTCATTAAATAATATTTAAAAGTATTAAAACTTCATTTCTATTAAATTTTATTCATTTGTAAATCCTTGGATCCGCTCCTGCAGGTGCGCGAAAGCCTCATCACTACTGTAAACAAATTATTCATCACGCCGAAAATGTTCATGATTCCGCTAAACTAAGAAAGCTTACACATAGTTTTTCATCTCATAAACAACCATCAGCCCTGTCCAATGCAGAAATGCTCGAATTGAAGGGGAAAATTCAGGAATTGTTTTGCGTCAACCATGTTTTGACGTGAACCTTACACCGCATTCTGTTATATTCTTAATATTATTGTATAGACGAAATTTGGTAAAGGACTATGTCCGCTCCATTTCTCCAGAACAGCTTAAGATATGAAAGTTAACTTTGTCAGATATCATAGATAATGACTTGTAGATGTCACCATGAATATTCTTTCCGTCGTCATTACTTCCGGTCGTCACAGAAATTGGATTAAAAAGTCGATTTTTTCTATTTCTTCGTCTTTCTAACTTCTTTTTTCTGTAATATTCATAGGGTATGTAAAGGCCCCTCTTTGAAGATTTTACGTATTACCAGTTTCCTGATAGGATTAAGAAGGAATTAAATATCTTTAAATATCTTAGAATTTCCGAAAACGTAGGACCAACGTTTCTTAAACACTACAGAATATTGATTTTTCCCCCGTATATATAGTTTGCGAGGACTGCTCAGTGCTCATTTACGTAGGAACTGGTGTAGAGTTAAAACCTACTGGGTGATTGGGATAGGCCAGAAAAACCTTGCCGTTGCCATGGAAACGAGTTTATATTAAATAAAAACGGTTGTATATGATATGTGTGTGCATTTTATTCGCCCCTATTTTTGTCAACTGTAGAAGACATTGCCATCTTTACACCCCCCCCCCTTTTTCTCTTTTTCGCTTTTATGTTTTGCATTCTTTATAAAATGACCTTGACTTTCATATCACAAGCAACTCTTCTTGACGTTTTTAAAATTATAAGCCTTAATTCTTTCTACAAAGTAATGCTAATTTACATGTTTATGTTCAAGACCCCCCCCTTTCCTCGAAGCAACCAGGTAGAATACACAGATATAAAATTTACAACTTATAAGGAACTTCTTAAGAGTTTCATTAATAAAGTTCGGTTCCCCTGATGTGATTTGATATTTTACTACCATTCATTCTTCTTCTGTTTTGTCTTTAGAATTTATAATTATTTTATTTAGAATTAATTTATCTTTAGAAAGTAGTGATTGTCAGCTGCATTCATTAGCATTTCGCGTTTTCTTCTATATCTATTACTTGCATATTAATAATTTCATTAAATAATATTTAAAAGTATTAAAACTTCATTTCTATTAAATTTTATTCATTTGTAAATCCTTGGATCCGCTCCTGCAGGTGCGCGAAAGCCTCATCACTACTGTAAACAAATTATTCATCACGCCGAAAATGTTCATGATTCCGCTAAACTAAGAAAGCTTACACATAGTTTTTCATCTCATAAACAACCATCAGCCCTGTCCAATGCAGAAATGCTCGAATTGAAGGGGAAAATTCAGGAATTGTTTTGCGTCAACCATGTTTTGACGTGAACCTTACACCGCATTCTGTTATTAAGTCTTCCGTTCACAACGGAAGACTTATAGTGATTGTATTGTTTCTTTTTATTAAGTCTTCCGTTCACAACGGAAGACTTATAGTGATTGTATTGTTTCTTTTTATTATTATTATTATTATTATTATTATTATTCCTCCCAAATTTTGTGAGCGCGATTACTCAGAGATGGTTGGATAGATTTTCACAATTTTTCACATGATAGTAGGCTGATATATGAAGTTTATATAAAATTCCGCTTTTTGAAAAATTCACTTCCGGTCCGAAGTTACGGCCGAATTTCCAATTTTTAAATGGACTTTTGTCCGGAATTTTTCTCGGAAACGGTTTGAGGTAAAGATGTGAAATTTACAGGGGTATTAGATCATGACATTCTCTTTGTTTCGAAGTTGCTTTCGTGTGTTTCCGGTACTTCCTGTCCGAACCGGAAGTGAA